TTTTTTAGATTTTATTTTTTAAAAAAAGTTATCTTTTTAAAAAGCTTTTTACGAAATTCTGTTTGACCCAGTTTCTACTTTTAAGTAGTAGATAAGCTAAATATAAGTCAGGCCAAACGAGCATTTAATTTTCAATGCTTTTATTGGATATTGTAGCCTAATTCGTTGAATTAGATAAGTGGTACAAGAAAAAGAAAATACTTTATTTTAGTTGATTGTTTGTTAAACTTTAGCCAAACTTTTTGGTATATATGAAAATCTATTTGCTCTTAAGTTATATATTCCAATAAATTTTTTTTCTTTTTATAAATATAATTATTTTTCATCTCAAAACTCAAATTCAAGATTTTCATGGAATGCGTATAACTATGAAGACTTATTAATGCATCACTCATCCATTTTTGTTATTTAGAAATAGTTGAAAGTAACTCTTTTTTGTTTGTAACTATTAGTTGTCCTTTTTCTTCCTTTGATAAAAATTTAAATCTTTAAGTAGCGTATTTAGTGACATATTGAAGTTTAAGACTGTTGGAGATTTAAATCATGCTAAAACAACTCATATAAAGTGGAATATTATTAAAATTTTAATTTCCTAAGCCATGGATCACTTAATTGAAACTAATATAGAAAAATCAGAAGAGAAATTTTGACATACTTGAATGTTTGTTTTCTTTAGTGGAGTCCTCTTTCGTTTTTTTTTTTTATACACCAACTATAACTTATCAAACTATAACAGAACAATTGTCCTACCTCTAAAAGTTATCCATACAGTGATTTATCAAAATCTCTTCATTAAAAGTGTGTGAATCCCCAAGCTAAAGTTTGTGCTAGTAAACTCTCAACTCTGAGCTCCCTTATATTTCTCTCTTTTTGGCTGTGATCTTATCTCAATACATGAGAAAATAAAATAGAACTCTTCTATATACAAAAGGCAGCTAAGAGATTCTTTTATAGAGTGAATTGACCTACTTTATATCCAATAAGGATTATAAAATATCTTAGGCTAATTTGACCTTTATTTAATACTCTATCCACTCATATTTGATTTAGCTCAATATTTAATTGAATTAAGCCTCTATAAAATCAATTAAATCACACCCAGTTGAACTCAAATTAATTTTGACAATTCACCTAATGTGTGTGACCCATTAGGTTCCTAACATGTTGACAATAAATATAAATTAATTCAATTAAGAATTTACATTTATATTTGTAGATCATAAGCGACATCTAGCAATACATCATGATCACCTAAATGTCAGAAGTGTTAATATGATTTGACACCTTACACTGTACAGTATCTCTGTGTAATTTGACCATTTCATCATATATCTTAGATATATAGAAAGCCTGGCTTGGTATCTACTTTCTAACTTATCCATATTAGTCCTACAGCTTTTATATTAACCTATCAAGATTGCCTTACCTAAGGACATTTAATCAATATAAGCCAGGAGCAAATGAGATATGTCCCTTTCAAATCACTGGGAGTGATGAATCCTTTCTAGACTACTCATTCATCTTCATATACTTCATGCCATACCCAAAAGCACCCTGTTTAAGCATCTGGTCACCTCCGGACCCCATAGAGGTGAAATCAAAGTATGACAATTCACACACAAGATAACTTGGTAACACCAGTCTAAGGATTACTTATACTACTAACACATGAGAGTATTTCCATAGACACTTGAGTGAAATACTAACTTGAACTCTCATAGCAGGTCATGTTTAGTGAACTTGTTCCTTAACAAACACCCACATACTATCTCCAAGTATCTCACATACTTCAACCTATGAGATCAATTGCTTACTTCTAAAGTAAGGAGGCCTAGCATTGTCAATACCTTCATTCTTGACAATACAATGACTAGGAGCATATTTAAGAACAAGGCTTTGATGCATGAGAATCTCATAATTATAACCTTTATAATTTCTTTGCAAGGCCATTATGTGTTGGGTGAGGGCTGATCATGCATCAAATACAAATAAGAGCAGCGAAAATAAATTTAAGATTAAATTATGCCTCACATTCCTAAGATCTCTTTCATATCGAATTGAGTGCGGAATTAAATTACAAATATATTTTACCTTAATAACAAAGGTTGATGAATCCTTTGTTAAACCACCGATTTGCCTTATGAAGCTCAACCACCTCAGCCCGGTTGTTGTAAACCAAAGCTATTCAAGGAATCTTTGTGCAGCTTCTAACGGTGATCCACACCAATGAATTAGAAAATCTTTCTTTAAGGATTGAGAGTGCTATACCTTAACAATGTGCTAGCAAAGATGAGTTTCATAAACTCATAATCCACACAAAATTATGGGGCTGAAAAAGAATCAAGTGAATGAAAACTGTTTTTCTTCACACATGGAGCAGTAAAAAGAGTTTCTAATCTACTGTTCGTTTCTTTTTAGCCTTTTCTCCCTCTTTTGTTTGGAGGTTATAGCAAGGTATTTATACCTTGGATTAATTTTAAACCCTAATTACAAAACTATTTTGTAATTGCATATTAATCTAATAATTTGAATAAATAATTTAATTAAGTCTTTAAGAAGCCCAATTAACTTAATTGTTTAATTTAATCAATTAGACCCAATAACTTAAGAAACAATTTAACTAATTAGGCCCAATAACTTAATTAAACAATTTGATCAATTAAGGCCAATAACTTGATTAAACAAATTTAATCAATTAGGCTCAATAACTTAATTAAAC